CTTGGCGCCACCCGTCAGAAACATGTGACGGACCTCCAAGTGGCGCTTGAAGAAATGCACCGCAACGTTGCAGTGAGAAGCGACAAGTTGCGTCAGCAAGCGTGCGGACGCCGCGACCGAAAATCCCAAGTCAAGTTATCGGGGTTTTCGGTCGGCGATTTTGTGCTTGCCGGATCGATCGTCAACCGGCCGAGAAAATTGGCCCTGCATTGGCGCGGACCCTGCCAAGTGACCCGAGTCATCACAGATCATGTGATGGAGACTCAGTAGCTGGTGCCACCGTACGAAGTCATGGTCTACCATGCGTGCCGATTGAAGATGTACAGTACCATGAAATTGGTAGAGTGGTGACCTAAGCCCTCGAGGCGCAGATCGCGTTCGGAAATGGCGGATTTCACGTGGAGCACCTCGACGAAGCGCGCATGCGTGGATGGCCAACACCAAGATATGGCGAAGTGACTCGAACTGGACGATGTAGTATCGTCCTGGAAACCTGCGGCAAATTTGCTGGACGACATTCTAGTCGTATTTCGCACGTGGGCGACGGCCAACAAGGAATACAATGCCGTGGCCGCCCTCATCAAAATAACTGGATTTTTCGTACGAGGGAAGTGTTCTACAGCGTGCAGAGCAAGTGGGTTGCGCGTTAGTTTGGCCCATTGCAAACACACACACTCAGTGTGTGTGCCATGTCAAAGGTTCCTATACCTTAGTGGAGGTACTGAGTACTTTAGTGAGTAGTCAGTAGGCGGCTCGTGGCGTGTTTAATCTCACTAATGTCAGTACATTTGCTACCTTGACGTAGGTCCCGTGGCCGAAAGCCAAGAAGCGGGAGACAAAACATTCCTTGTAACTTATGATTGAATTTTATAGCGCGTCTGAAACAGACGAGGAGTACGATGAGCGCGAGAAGCTGCTCATTGGCGAAGAAGCCCTCTGCATTCTGTTGAATCGCTTGACGTGTTGAATCATACGTCAAGCGATTCAACAGGATACAGATGGCTACTTCGGCGCTTGCGTTGTAGCGCTGGGGCGAGTTTATCGGGTAGAGAATCTCCAGCAGCACTTGCAATTGCGGAATCTCGTTTTTCTTAAAGCGAAACGAAAATTCTGTGTAAAATGATTTTGCTAACGTGACGGATCAGTGAGCAGCCGAATGATCATTCATCAGATTTTGTAGGCCAGATATACAACAATCAAGAGAGACGTAGGACAGCTGGCCTACATTTTCGCATTTACCAAACGTCATGATCATACAATAACTCATATAACGGGTCAAGTAGCGAACGGTTTTGCGAAATCGTAGGCCACGCATCCTACTCCATATTGCACGCCTAT